AGTAGAATTCTCCTTTCTGTGTTGCCAAAGAAAAGGGGCCGAACACCTTTTGCATAGAACACCTTTCTGCGTAGGCGGCCTTCGGCCGCACTTAGGGATTATAACCCTCAGGCAGTAGAATTCTCCTTTCTGTGTTGCCAAAGAAAAGGGGCCGAACACCTTTTGCATAGAACACCTTTCTGCGTAGGCGGCCTTCGGCCGCACTTAGCGATTATAACCCTAACTACGTAGAATTCTCCTTTCTGTGTTGCCGGAAGAGGGGAATATGACCCCAATCCCCCTACTATTTATTTTTATCTGAACAAAAGAACCTTATCGTATTTTCCTTTTAATCGTATTTTCTTTTGGTCTTGCTTTCCACTCTTGGTTTTTTTAGATATGGCAACACAGTCCTGCTGCCATTTCCACATATTCTGCATGTACTCTCATAAAATTAAACAACAATCATTTTTTTATAAAAAAGCTGTAATATACTAAAAGTATTTATTTGTTTGAACGTGCACACTCTAACTGCGCATATATTGAGTGTAAATAACGTGTAAATTTAGTGGAAAGTGCATTATATATTGTGAAATAGTCCAATACAAGTTGGTGGAAATTACAAACTTTAATAACAAATTACTTAAAAACTATAAAGTTGCGCGCTTTGAAACTTCATACAGGGAACTATTAGACCCCCATCTACCTCCCATATTGTGCGTTCCATAAAGGCATAACGCAACTCCATTCATCTTTTTTTTCAACACCATTTTGACTTTTATTTTCCGCCTTTTTGCGTTAAAATTGTTGCCAATTGTGCAACGACACGAGTTTTTCACAGGGGCACGTTCTTCACTTCTATTTTCCGATTCTGCGCCGGGTGCGCCACAAATTTTCGAATGCGCGACCAAAACACAAAATTTATGAGCATACCGCACATGCTCAGTATATAATTAACACAATTGTAAATTCTCCCGACACGTGCGTAAAGTGAGTTTTAATTGATAATAAAAGCCATTCACGGAAGTAGTGGTGTGTTATCTATATCGACATATCATAATCCGATACATTGCAGGGTTCCTTTGCTCGCCCTTACGTGGAGGTTACACTTGCAGTTTTTCGCATAAAGTATGCGCAAACTTTGGCAAGACTATTACAAAAATTGGGTGTGCATATAAACCGTTGGGTAATATTAGACATAATTTTACACATATAAGTGGTGAAAAAAAAAACAAACAAAGGGATTCATTCATGAAATTTCAAAATTCACGAATTGTTTTTTGACTTTGGTTTATATTGAAAGATTTCATGGACGTTCGTAAATATAGTCAAAGGATTTCTTGAGAGGAGTAAATATGCCCAAGGAATAACATCTGAATACTGGCTTGAGAAAGTTACTAAATTTTCGTAAGTCACTTCAAACCATCCGAAGATGGATAGCAAGGTTACTTCAGACCAGGATTGCCGAAACTGAAGTCGGTGACAGCGTCGTTCAAATACAAACGACGAAAGGGTGCCAACAAGGGGGGGTATTGTCTCCTCTACTGTGGAGCTTAGTTGTGGACGAACTCCTGCAGATACTTACTAACGAGGGCGTCCGCTGCCAAGGGTACGCGGACGACATAGTGATTATCGCTAGAGGGAAGTTCGCAAGTACTCTCTGTGACATCGTCCAAAAAGGACTTAACCTTGCGAAAAGGTGGTGCACAGACGTAGGTTTAAATATCAACCCTTCTAAGACAGCCATAGTCCCCTTCACCAAGAAACGAAATCTCCAGGGGATGAGGAACTTGACCTTGGACGGGGTCGCAATCAGTGTCGCCACAGAGGATAAGTATCTGGGGCTTACCCTGGACTCCAAGCTTCTGTGAAGGGCCCATGTTGATGCGGTCACCTCTAAGGCCACGAGAGCGATGATGGTGTGCAAACGTCTGGCGGGTAAATCCTGGGGGTGCACTCCGAGGATCCTCAGATGGATGTACACCATGATAGTGAAACCAATAGTGACTTATGGTGCGGTGGCTTGGTATTCCAGGACTACTATAGGAACGGTGAGGCAGACCCTCTCCAAGATTCAACGTCTGGCATGTGTTTGCATTACGGGAGCAATGCGCACATGCCCGACGGCAGCGCTAGAGGTAATGCTAGAACTCGAGCCACTGCATCTCTCAATTGGACAGGCTGCAAAGCGAACCCTCCTTAACTTTGCGAGAAAGGGCTTCGGCAAAGGCAACGTGTTATCATCTAGGAACAGGGACAAGCTAGGTACCCAGCTCCCCCTGGCTTTGTTCCCCAGGGACGATATTAACAGAGAGGTGGTTTTCAAGAGAAATTTCAGGACCCACACTTATAGCAAGGCGACCTGGTGTACCTCTATTATGGAGAGTCACATACAGGCGAGCACAATACAGTGGTACACTGACGGCTCTAAAACACCCGCGGGGATTGGAGCAGGCGTGTACGGCACTAGGCTGAAGCTTTCGGTGTACCTGGGGACTTTTCCTAGCATCTTTCAAGCGGAGGGCTATGCCATCAGTATGTGCGCTGAGATTAATATTCGCAGGAACTATAGAAATGAAAGGATACTTATACTAAGTGATAGCCAGGCGGCACTAAGGGCTCTCTCATCATTCGAGATCAAGTCCTCCCTGGTTAGGGAGTGTGTCGAGAGGCTCAATGCTCTGGTGGAGGTCAATGATATCCAACTAATGTGGTTACCAGGGCACATGGGGGTCGCAGGAAATGAGGAAGCTGATCATCTGGCCAGAACGGTCGCTTCCTCGACCCCGGTAGGACCTGAGCCCTTTCTGGCAGTAGGACCAAACACCATAAAGGAAATGCTCAGAAGGGACAACAGGAAACTGAGGGAATTACACTGGCTTGGCACCATGGGCCAACGTCAGGCAAAAAGCTTATTAGGAGGTTACAATCTGTCAAGATACAGGCTTCTTATGGATCTCCCAAGAGAGAAACTAAGAATTATTACAGGTTTTTTGACGGGCCACTGTAGGCTCAGAGCGCACCTGCATCGCCTGTCGCTTTTGCGATGCAGCCAAAGAGACTCCTCTACACCTTCTTATGGAGTGTGATGCCGTTGCACGCAGGAGGTATAGGAGCATAGGGCATGTCTGGCCAAGAGAGGAGCACATACACTCACTGTCCCAGGGGTCTATTATGAAATTTGTAGACACTCTGGGTCTGGTTGATGTATTGTGATGAGCTAGGGGCACAATAGACCTACTGGTCGCAGTGCCATACCCAACCAACTATCTATCTCTCTATCTAAGTCACTTCAAAAGTAAAAGAATAAAAAATCCCAAAATGAGAATCTTACTCCTCAAAATGCACGGAACTACTTCTAGACCTTGTAGAAAACAGTGATAGTACACGAGTTGATTATTGCCATTAGCTATATTGCCCAACAGTAATGCAAGGGCTTCATACAACCCTGCGCGTTGTGGGCAACTAACAATAAAGGGAGCTACACACACGCGATATCTTCATCAATCTTTAAGGGGAGTCACTACTAGTGCATTTTTCTTAAAAGATTGTAACTAATATGAAAATTCAACTTTGTAATTGTTATAGGCCAGAATTTATGCGTATGTATTGGTCGCCACTCTACAATTTCGTTTCCTCTACAAGTTTTAATTCGAATGGGGAAACTCATATTACAGAAAAATGACCCGTTTCACATTAATGCGCAAACGAGCTGAAACTACTCAAGGCTATCCACTGACGTGCCGACTTTACGGCATGAAGCACCCCCTCCGGCTTTGCCCCGTCTTCCGGGCAAAGGCCCCCGAAGATCGCCTACGCGAAGTACTTATTCATCGGTACTGCACTAATTGTTTGGGGGGAACCCACCGCGCAGCACACTGCACGAACGAGGGAAAATGTCGGCGGTGCGAAGAGCAACATTATACGTTGCTGCACATTACGTCGCACGCCGAGAAACCACGTTTCAATCGTCGTCCATCAAGGAGAGCTGTTACTGAAGACGTAGACAGCGATGCGATATCTTTAACAGCGTCAGAGACTGGAGCGGAAACAGCTGCTTTCCGCCCAGATCTGGAAGAAGGGGAAGTGTTCCAAGCTGGAGCGGAAACTAGTGCTTTCCGCCCAGAGGAATCGGCCGAAATGGGGTCCAACGATTTACTAGCGAGCAAGAATTGGAGCCCCAGAATGGCGGACAGCTCTTGAAATATGAGCTACGCGAGCTAAGCGGATTGGAAACGCTAGCTTTCCAACCGCGACACAATAGATCG